CATATGAAGCAAAGAGAATCTTGCACTGCTTTTATTATAGTAGATCAAGAAGGTGCCTTTCTCAGGTTTAATGTACAACACTTTCTACCAGTTAATGTAGTATAATGTGACTGACAGGTAACGTTCTACTCCTGTAGAGGTCTATCCGAATTAATTAAAAACACTTTGTTTTTATTTTCAAAGGAAGTAGATTTAAAAATCTGTTAAACAGAATAGGGCACCAGGCAAAGAATGCCCCAACAGAGTTACGACTTCGATGCTTGGATGCAATTTCATCTCTTCTTTACTTGTCTGTAAGTTTGTGCTTTGGTTTGTTGTCTTTTTTTATAAATCTACAAGAATGAAATTATTGTGCATCTGACTAACTGTGTGAAGACCTTCTGCAGTTTAGGTAGAAGCGGTAGCTTTCTAGTATTCCGAGTCATTAACTTCACTGTTTTGAAATGCCCTGATTTATTTGTTTGCTTAAAGTTTGAGGTTTTTAAGAAGCCAGGTGTTCTGAAATGTGTCCATAAAACATGAAGACAGCATTGGCAAGGGAATGAGAGTAAACAGTTGAATATTCTTGTGCTTTAAAGGGATGGTGGCAAACTGCTCTAATCCTTGTGTATGTTCTTTAGATCCAGTGATCTGGTTTCAATAGTGTAGTTCTAAATGAGTGAGTAAGCCATTTTCATTTGTCTTGCAGGACTGCGCTCCAGCAAAGCACTTATCTCGTGTATCAAAATCAATTTATTTAAATCTGTCCTCCAAGCTAAATGAAATATAGAAGGCCATTTCTTCATTCATGAAAATAAGTTGAAAATTTAAACTATTTCAGTTTAATCTGATGGTGGTTTCCTTAGCTATTGAACATATACTCAAAACTTGGAAGCTTTTCATAATCTTAATCAAACTCTCTCATTTTTGTACGTGATGCGTGTAGCCAGAGCAGCAGACAGAAGACCTTTTAAGAATGACTGAATCATGGTTCACATCCTTGTCTAGCCAGCCGTTGGAACTCTTCAGGAGCATCAGTACTCAGCCATTCCCTGATCTCCACTGTGGGGCTTTACGGGTATTTACTGTAAGTGGTTTTTGTTTTTAAAGATCAGGTAGTGAATTGTTTTGCCATTCAGTCTCAGATTTTTTTTAAGTGAATGCCACAAACTTCTTATTGAAGCCCCGAAGTGGTCAGAAATAAGGCCTTTTTCATTGTGCTCCACTTGCATTCACCATTTAAGTAATGCAGCAGACATGTCATGTCTGTCATGCTTATTTTCTTATAAATTGGGGGGGGGGCTTAGCAACAGCTAAGCTCTAGGGTGCTGCTTCGATATCAGAGGCACTGCTGTGATAATTCACTTAAAACTTTAAAGATAAGCACTGAGCTGTACTTGTTTTCCAGTGTTAAATCCTGCTGCTTGATTTGAGTGGTGGTTGTGTAGGTACTGTGTAGAATGAATATCCCATTTCACTTTTTCTGTTCCTTGGCTATTTGCGTAACAGCCTACTGTTTTTTTGGTTTTTAAAATGAGGTCTTTCCCTCTCTCCCCTCTTTCTGTCTTCCTGTTCAGGCTATTGCAAATCAACCGTGGGCCCAGAAGTTGATGCTTGACAGTCCAGGGTTTGTGGAGTACATTGTAGACAGATCTGTGGAGCCTGACAAAGCTTCGAAGGATGCCAAATATGAACTGGTTAAGGCCCTTGTAAACTCTAAAACAATTGCGGAAATCTTTGGGAATCAGTATTACCTGAGGCTTAGGGCTTACTTGCGTGAAGGCCCTTATTATGTCAAGGCAGTTTCTACTACAGCCGTGGAAGGAGCAGAATAATGTCACTGGTGTCTTGGTTCCCCTTCTCGCAAGCCACGTTACTGAAATGGGTGTTAAGATACAAGGTGTAAAGACTCCCCACACTGGAGTCTCTTAAAATTGTCTCTTTAAAGGAGTGTGAAGCACTTTGACTATTTGAAATGAGAGTCATGAGAGCAAATCAAAATCTATAGGGCACAGCATAATTTCCCATAGAATGTCATGGCAGAAGTTCTCTGTGTACTGTCGTGAGACGAGTAACCAAGGTAAGCACTCTATCAACTGCTGACTGCGTTTTACTTTGCAGAAATTATCAGTGTTTAGTTAAACTGTTTTGGGTTTGGTGTTCCCATCGTGTTTTCTCAGTAGATCACAGTTCAATTAAAAAAACAAACACCAAAACACCTCGAGGCTTGTAACCTCAGATGCTGCCATAGTTTCTCTCTTTTTATTTTTTTTTATATCTGCCAAAGTTGGCACTTGCTTGGCACATACTCTTTTAGCCAGTCGTATTCTGTCAGAAACCCTGTTGGTAAGAATAAGCTAGTAACATTCTGTCCACATGAGGGAGTACGAACTGGATTCTCTTCTATTTTCAACTTGCTGGATGTAAGTCTTGCTTGAATAAATAATCTTAAATATTGTTTACATTTTATGCTGAGGATGAAAAAAAGCTTTTAGCCCTTTTAGAAACAAATGAATGCTAGCTCTAGTGTATAAAACGAAATTGGGAGCTTTGTCTCCCTTGACTGCGACTTTGTATGGCAGCTCAGTTTACTTGCTCAAAAGGAGCATGAGCTATAGCACTACAAGTCTACTTCAGAACCAAATCTTAAATTGTTTACACTATTTTTTAACAGAGATAAATTTTTTTAATTTTAAGTGTTATTTAAAAAAATGTATGATTTTTAGTTGCCTGAGTTGGAATAAAAGGGGTAAGAAGGTAAAGCTTTCATGTTTAAGGGCATGAACTGAATTAAGACTATGGAAATGTAGTACCTTACAAAGTTGTGTATCTTCCTCTGAAGACGGTCAGCTAGCTGCGGATGAGATGCAAGACTAGTTGGACACTCTAGTGACACGTGCTGTGTCTTTGTCCATAAAACAGAGACCACAATGTTCTTCATACAAAAGGTTTATACTATTTTTGTTGAGGACATAAGGAACAAACCTGAGGAGTGGCTGGGAGGAGCATAATAAAACATGAAATTACTACTTTGGGGCTTATTTTAGTAGTGTGTCAAGTCAGGTATACCTCTATGGAAAGTACTCGCCCCGTGTCCCCACTCTGCCAAGTGAAGCAGGATGATCTGGTCACGCAGTAACTATTTTCTTGCTTGTAGTAGCTTTGAGCTGCAGCAGAGGTGATGGTATTGCCTGCCAAAAATTGCTGGCAAGGAGTCAAAGTGGACTCAGAGGAGCAGGGTAGTTGGGGAAGATCCCTTAATGTTTAATAAGCTATCTGAATGCAGGTGATCTGCCTTGTTGCTTATCTAATATGTACAAAAGTTGTCATCCAACATTACACTACTGCTGACGCTTTCATCCTAGATGTGTATAATAAACAACTGCTAGTGAGAAATGCAGTGCACTGTCTCATTTGTGAACGGAGAGAGCACAGAAGCTTCATGAATCCTGCATCCAGAAAAAACATGAAAGCACTAAAAAGGAAACCAAAAAAGAGTATAGAAGTCCTTGGTTTGCGCTTGTACTGGACAGTTCAGCTTTGTTATTTTAGGTGGCTTTGTGCGCTGGTAGCTCTCTGAGCTGTATATGAAAATCTCAGTAAAAGAAATCAATATATAAACCTTTTCTGCAATTCATGAATCTCTTCCGTATGTGTTTTCAGCTGTTGCTTTTGAAGGCTACTCTGTGTTCTAAGTCTTTAGCATCTGCTTTGCATGGTACATTTGCCAAATACAATATTTTAGAATACACAGAGATGCCAGACAAAGGGATTTTTTATATATGCACATACGGTTTATTTTGTTGAGCTTTGAGCTCAACGTTCTGATTAATTGATCAGACACTTACCCCTTATTATTCCCATGTAGTTCTGTACTCATCTGTACTGTATATTGCCGTATGGTTTACGTGTTGCTGCTGGTGTATCTTACATACAATGGAAAAATTTAAGCGTGTTGTCCCCGTCCTCCCCCTGTAAAGTAACAGGTGGAGATAATTGAGGAAAAACCAGAAATGGAATGATGGAGGATGAGAATTGAGGTAACATGCTAAACTTGATGAACTTGGTTTAAAAAAAAAAAACAAAACCAAACCAAAAACCCACAGCTCATCACTTGACCCTGGTTAACAAGCAGCATAACTTGGTACTGAAGAACTGTGGATCCTTCGGAGCACACCTCCAATTCCTTCAGTCACAGCGGGAAGAGTAGATGGTGCCCTCGAAGGTGCGTGTGTCTCTCCCCATGTGTGTCCGTCACAGTTGTAGAACAATCTGTCCAGCTAGTCTTTCTACTGCTGAAAGAGCTGGTACGGAAGAGTTAATCTGGAGGATGCAGGCGTGGGTGGGGTTGTGTTCTGTGGCTGGTTCCTAATTTGGGGAATTTTCACATTTTGAATAAGGTTGGTGTTACCAGTATGTCGGTGAATTTGTTCTGACTTCACTGCTGATGCTGTTCTCCAGCACAGTGTTATGGCATTGAGCTGCTTGTGTCCGTGTTCCTCTGATGCCATGACTGACAGAAATACAAGATTCTTTAACATGTAAGTTACATTTCTTGCCTAGCATCTCCCCGGGCTGTTGGCTAAGCCATTCCCACGATGGTCCAACGTCTGCTCCCACTCTAAGCTGTTCGGTAAAACAGGCTGCTCAGAAGTAGCTCCCTTTTGTGGACGGAAGGATTCCCCTTTGTTACAAAATACTTTGGAAGTAAGTGATGCCTCACTCAGAAAATGCAGAAGAGTTTTGGCATAAGTTAGAGGACTTAAAAAGTCTGGAAAAGACTCGATAGAGACAAAGTTTCTTGGAATACTTTTTTTCACTTGTATGCATGCACTTGTAGGTACTTACGTAGCTAGAGTAGAGCCAGTTCTCTTGCTGCTGTAACACACTATAGCATTGAGAATTCATTTGCTGTTGGAGGGAAGAGAGCTACCTTTGAGAGGAGATCGTTATTGCTGAATGTTAACAGGATAAAACAGCTGGTAAAAGAAAATTCAGACTTTCTTTGCAAAAGCTAAACCTTAATTGACAAAATGAAGAACCTCATTTTTAATTCTATCTAAATTAAACTGTTTGAACTTATCAATATAGGTCAAAACCTTGCAAGACACCAGACCGTAATAAGTTTCCAGTAATGAGCAATCTTTCCCATCGCTTGTTTCCTTCCAGTCTTCAAATAACTCATCCTCTTTCATGTTGGAAGAGGTGAAAATGAATTTATAGCAGCATCGATTATAGCTGATGTGCTTCTCCCCAGAAAATCGAGAGCTGTGAATGGGAGTGATGCCAGCTTTTTTAGCACAGATTCCGACAAAGATATCGGGGGGCACTGAGATAGGCACCTCCTTGGTGGCCACGTACACCTTGCGAGCGACGTCCTGGGACATGACAAAAGCGCTCCCATCGCAGTAATCTGGGTAAAACTCGTCCGAGTATTGATGGATGGGAACGAAGCCAGGGCTTTCGGGGTCTCTGTCAGGCACTCCTTGATGAATGACCCTCCCAATGTAAATGTCCTCTAGCTGTGTTAAGCTAAGCAAGTATCCAGCCAGACTTGGAATACTGACAAACACGTCTTCATCTGTTTTAAGAATGTACCTTGCATGGGGACAGAAAGTCACTGTCCACTCCACGCTCATCAGCATCTTCTGTGTCTGCGTCTCGGGAGAATCGACGAAACTACCTTCAACAATGTCTCTGTGCTTTTGAGACTCTTCATTGATTTCCAGCTGGGTGGTTACTAAAGCTGGCTTTCCTAAAGCAAACAGAGTAAGGACAGCATAACCTCTGGCGTCTGTCACGTTGCCCCATGTCTGCCTGATCACGTTGCGCCTTGTCCTGTTTTCTGGGCTACTGCAGACAAGAATGAGCAAAAATACCTCTCGATCGGAGCATGTTGCTGCACTGCTGACAGTGTAAGAGAGATTGGCCTTTAGGGGATCCATATCTAGCTTGCTGGCCCTCTCCCTGATTTCGAGAGTCTTTGCGTCAGTGTAAGAAAGAGGTAGTGACCGCAGGAAGTATTCCTCCAGTAAATCTGCTCCAAAAAGCAGCACGTGGAAAAGCAAGACATTGAAGAGGAGGAAGCACCACTGGTGAGTCCGGAGCCTGCAGAGTGTCAGCTGGGGAAGAGAAGACGTGGACACTCAATTCTCTTGCTACTAGAACAGAAAGGCTTTCCTTCATTTTATAATATATTCATGCAAAACAATCATGACTTTTAGATTGTTGTCTTTGTATTATTAGTGTAAGGCTCTTTTCCTCCTAGAAACTTAAGCAACCCTACTTCTTGTGGCACAGCGAGATTCCCAAGCTGAGAAGGACATTACCATGCTGTAGTTTAGAAGGCTTCTTTCTGTGCATCCATGTGTGGAAATACTGAGGAAGAACTCGCTATTAATATTTTCTGACTGTTTTTAACCTGTCACTGAAGGCCTGAGGTGCTGATGAGGACCTGTCATGTTAATATGTGTCCTCAAAGGAGAGCCGCTGGTACTTGGCCTGACAAGGCTGTTTGAAAGCTGGCAGGGTAAGAAGCCAAAGGGAAAGCCGTTATCCCCGCTGTCCCGGAGGGAGTAGCCTCGTGCCAGCCTCTGTGCTGCGGCTGAGCAACGAGCCGAAGCACTTACCTGCATGGTGGTGGGAGTTCTCCCTGCAGCAGGGTCTGTGTTCACGGCGGAGGCAGTTTCTCCCGGGCAGAGGCTTACGGGGCAGCGTCTGCATCTGGGTCTGCAGGATCCAGTTACTGCCCAGTACCCAGAGACTATGGCTTCCACCTCACCTGCCTGCGGGGAGGAAAGATGATCCCAGGGGACGATCGTGTTGCAGCTGCATAAAACACAAAGCAAGCAAAACTCTAGCCTTTCCCTTATTCATTTCTGACGCTTGGGGTTGGGTCTCTGAGAAATAAAGTGAAGCAACTGCTAGGGCTCCCTTGGTAACAGGGGTCCTCTGGTACTGTTGTGAAGCTGTGCTAGGTTTGACAGTTTGTTTTTTACAGCTGTGCCATTTTGATGTTGGTTCCCCTCTCCAGGGCTGTTGACCCCTGAGCCGAGCACCCTGCATCTCCTGAGATGGAGGTTTGGTGCGTGAACTTTTTTTACATTTGCCTTCTGTGGGGTACCCATGGATGTGGAGGGCACCCTAAGGCTGTGGGCACTGCTGGGCCAGGCTGTCTCTAGCACAGAGGGAGCGGACTGGGCAGGGAGAGGGGTACGAAGTGGCTTTCCCTGTGCTGGGATTGCAGCTGCAGGAGCTGTGACCCCGCTCCAGGCAAGGCGCCTTGCTTGGCTCTCTTGATCACTCCTGGAGCTGAGGAAGTGCAGGGCATCTTTTAGTACCAGGCGTGTTTTCAGTGGGCCCCTTGGAGCAAGGCACGAAGAAGGGGCTGTGCAGGGGGAGCTGACGGTGCTCAGCCAGAGGGCCCATGGCCAGGAGGCTGGGGAAGTTTTGGTGTGTCCCTCCAGCATCCGTTTACTGCAGCAGGGATGTGAACCCTAACGAGCTGTGTTGGATGGTCCTTTGCTTTCTGTCCGCACAATGTCACTCTGGTTTTAGATGACTATATGGATTTATGCTTTTGTGGTGGTTGCGTGTCCTGGTGAAGAGCTGCGGTGATCTACCCCCGGACAAGGCTGCTGCCTTCGGCGGTGGCCTCGGCTGTGCCGGAGCCTCCGCGTGTTAATGTTGGCACAGCCAGGGGCTGTGCTGGAGCTGACTGGGCTGGGGAGCCGCAGGGGACTGGAAGTGCTGGAGGGGGAAGTGCCAAAGACACCACAAACAGGATGGAGGTGTCAGCAGGGGTGAGAGTTGGGTTTGGCAGCAGGTCTGCAAGCCATGGGGCCTGTGGAGCACCGAGGGGGAAAAGGGGCTTGCGGGTCCCCAGCAACCCCTGGGGAGGGGCGGAGGGGGTGGAGAGCGGCAACGATGCTGTTTGATGGGCAAATTGTGGCGGGAGGTGTCAGCCTTCATTGGCCCAAGCGTGGGAACTCCAGCCTCCGTGTGAGAGCAGAGAGATGGTGATTTTTTTTTTTTTAATTTTGAAAAGATTTTTTCTGTAGGTAAGGGTGCGTTTCTGTTACCGCATCCTTGGGTGAAAGGGTGGGAGGAGGATGCAGCATTGCTGCCGTTTGCCTTAGCCGTGGGCCTTGCGAGGGCTGAGGGTGTGATGCTCCGACCATTGCAATCCTCCCTGAAGCATTCTTTTGGGACCTTGCATCAGCCAAATGTCCCAGGGGGATGGAGGAGAGTTTTGAATTCTGGCTTGGGGTGACCAAGGGTTAATTCCCCAGCTCTGGCGGGGCCCCTCAGCTCTCCCAGCGCCTGCCTGCCCCTGGGTCTGTGGCAGTGTGTGGAGGTCTTTCCCACACATATTGGGAAATGTGCATTGCTGTAGGAAGCGACTGGAATTACAGAAGAAACCAGGTCCTCAAAATATGGTCACAGCTTGGAAGTGCATCATGCCCCCCTGAAAGATGGCCCAAACACACACAGCGTGTGTGTCCCAATGCAGACCTCAGCTTTAGGCTCTCCAAAAACGGGAAAAGCTCCTTTCGCAGAGCTTGTGTGTCAGCTGGGATACAGCTTCACCTGGGCCAGCCTCACAATCCTTGTAATCCTTGCAGAAGTTGTGCTTTGAAGCTTGGCAAGCTGTCAGCATGGGAAGTGTCAGTTAAATGTGTTCTTTGAAATAAAAAGCTAATAAGGAAGTATTTTTTTATGTATAATAATATGGCACTATAGTCCCCGATACCCATTCTGGGGAAAAAAATTCCTCCTTTGAAGATGCTCCGGCTCCAGCTAAACCATTTAATAAGCAAATAAATACTAGCATTTGAAACCACGTCCATTAAAAATATTGGCTTTCCCAATTGTGCTTTTTTAGAATAATAATAAAACCCACATGTGTATCATCCCTGTTGCAATTACGCCCAGCGTGGTGCCTGCAGTACTTCTGAAGTCATTTCTTTCGCACTGCTTTGTGGTGGCAGCAGGAGCTTCAAACAGTCGCCGATATCACATATATAAGATTAACACCATCCAACCGCAGCTGGGGTGCAGGCAGCTCTTGGATGTGGGGTTTTGTTTATCTGAAGAGCCTGGCTGAGTCCCACTGGGAGAAAGCTGAGGAACAGAAATGAAAAGACTGCTGAAGGGTAAAATAACCGATCTGGAGTGCCACAAACCCCCTTGGCTTCAGGGAGTTTGCCTGGCGATGATCCCTCCATTGCCTTTAAAATGCAGGCTTCAGGCAAACGTAACGCACAGCAACTTATGTATGACCTTATCTCACTTTTCAGATGGATAAAGTCAAACGTGTTCAGGGGGAACCTCACTCCCAGTGAGATCCAAGCGTTTCCAGAAGAAGATTGAATTCAGGACCCCAGAGTGGCTGAAGTCAGGTCAGTCTGGGGAAAGGAGTGCTGTTCCTACAGCTTCACTTAAACTCTGAAAAATCTTGTGGGTGTAAATTAGGGAAACAACCAGGAAAGCAGGTTTTCCTGAGCCACAGGGCTATAATTTGCTTTGTGTAAGATGTTTTCACGTTCTCCTTAAATTTTATGTCCAAGCAAACCTCATTACAGGAGCAGGGACATACCAATAACGCTGTAGACAACTTGACCTACCATACGAAAAATGAGTGTTTAGACTGAAGGATGTTTGGAGTTTGGGTTTGATTTTTTGGAGAGGACAGGGCCCTGAACTCCCGTGATACCCAAAGATAAAAGCAGAGGTGCCCGCAGAGCGGTGGGAGATGCTGTTGAGCAGGATGAGCCCGGGGCCAGCGCTGAGGGGTGGGCAGCTGTGATGCTATGTGCTGCAGGGGAGCAGCCGTACCCGCAGCTTCTTAAAACGTCTCTTAAAGTCTCCTGGCTTCCCTCCCAATGCTGTGAACATTTGGAAGGGGGGAGCAGAGCCCGGCTTGTTTCAGTTCTGCTTGACTCCGCTTCATGAAAATGCGAAGGCTTTGGATGACGCACCGTTCTCAGGCGATGGTGCAGGCGAGGGCGGGCGGACAGGGTTTATTGGGGAAAACCAGTGAAAATTGTTTTTTCCAATATAAATTTGCTCCAATATAACAGCCCGAGCTCTGCCTGCCCCAGGTGTCTGTGCGGCCGCTCCGTGCCGCACGCTACCCTTCCCTGCAGGGTAGTCACCCCTCTCCATCCCCACCACGGTCCCCCTGCTCCCAGGCTCTTCCCAAAAGCCGGGTTGATTCCCACAGGCAGGCTCTCAAATCACTCAGCTGATCCTGCTCCAGAGACGTGCCAGATCCTGTCTGTGTAGCCCACCTGTAGGCAGGTGGTTTTTCTCTTTCCGCGAGGCATTCCCCGTGCCCTCGTGCAGCCGCTTGTCTTATTTTAAGGGTCAGAGATGACCCCTGTCACAAGGCATCTCCCGGCAGCCCCGCCAGTCCCCAGCCCGGATGCTCCTGGGAGCACAAAGCACCTTCCCTGTGTTTTGGACCCTGCCCAAAGGGTCCCCTCTATTTACAACCTGCCTTTTGCAGTGTTTCACCAGCACACAAAGACCCGATAGCACGAGGGGCTGGGAAGGGACTTGTCTGGTTTTTAATAACAGCATCAATTCCAATAAATAGAGACAATTGTTTTGGTCTTAGTCACCTAATAGCAATGTTTTTGCTTAAAGATATGATTCAGCTCTTGCAGGCAATTCTTCACCTTAAGTTCTCCATAAGACTTGGGAGATTATGGCAGAGAAGGTTTTGTGAGAGTTACGCAGTGTGTGTTTCATTTGGGTTTTGTTATTTAACATCCCTTCATGTGTTAAACATAAGTAGAAAACTTAAAAACAAGCTAACAAACTGGAGCGCTGACACACAAGACGAATAGATTAGCCGCTCCTGGTACACGAATGAGGGTGTCTTTTCTTCCTATTTAATGGCTCAGTTGACTAGGTTAAAAACATGTTTTTATAGCCAAGTTCCTAGCATTCATTTTTTCTTTGCATACATCAGTCTTGGAGTTACAGAGCTCTATCTTTCTGTATGGGTATGTTTGATTATTACTTCTTGAGTTTAATGACAGCTTTGACAACTAACTATCACTATATTCCTTGATAAAGACAGCTTAAACCCTCTGTGCGTTCTGCAAGTGCTGAATTCATCCTCAGAAATACCGAGCTAAATAGAAGCTGAATGGAGAGAGCATGAGTTTGTGAAAAATGCCGAGTTGCGAGGCCACGGGGCTCCAGCCCTTGGGCCGAGCTGGTGCCCGAGAGGTGGTCTCCCTGCCAAGATGTCAACTTGACAGAAAAGTTGCCTGTTTTGCAGCGGACCAGAAGTTTTCACCTTGTTACTCATTTTCACAGTGTGCCCTGCAGGTTACTTTGCCTTGCCCATTCATTCCCTGCAGTTAGACACAGGCTGTATTTGTGCCTGGCAAATCTAGATCTCACATGAAATCCATTTGACATGCACAACAGCTGAAGCATTTGAGCCTCGAGTCAAGCTCCGCTTTGATTAAATTCAGTCCGTGCTTTGACAATATTTGCAGTTGGGAGCAGATCAGGCGTTGCCGTGCCTGACTCCACGGCCGCTCTGTAGCCGCAGCAGCACTGGGCAGCAAGCTGGGGCATTTCTTCTGGGGAGCTCCTTGCCCTGGGGTTGTTGGGG